TTTCTTTTGTTGACGAACCTCCTACGTCCTTTTCAACCAGCGTTGCTAGCCCTCTGCTCTTGTAGAGCGAGCGCCCAGCCTGTACAACCAGGCACTGACTTTTTCTTGTGGAAGACAATTTCCTCTCTTTCTTACCTCCTACATTGTTCTTCTTGTGTTTTTCCTTTTTCTTGTTCCCTTTTTCTTTTTTTCTTTTGTTGACGAACCTCCTACGTCCTTTTCAGCCAGCGTTGCTAGCCCTCTGCTCTTGTAGAACGATCGTCGGGCTTGTACAACTAGGCACTGGCTTTTCTTGTGGAAGACAATTTTCCTTCTTACCTCCTACATTGTTCTTCCTGTGCTCTTTCTTTTCCTTGCTCCTTTTTTCTTTTTTGCTTCTGTTGACAAACCTCCTGCGTCCTTCGCAGGACTTGTATGCCTATTTGGCTGGTTTCATGGTAAAGTCAATTATATATTGTCACAGAACTATGTATAGCCTTGTGATGAGTCAGTGAAACCCCGACGAAACAGTTTGTCACACCCTATTGTTTGTTTTCCTCTTCTCTTTCTCTCCCTACGGTTTACTCGGCAGTTATCATCAAGGTTGTACATGCACATGAGGTAGTTCGTGCTACAAACTTGCGCCATGTGTTACAATTGTTGGAAGTAGTTGCACTGCACCCCGACCCTCAAGCAACCATAAATGTTCGTGTATGTCACAAACTGATGCCACTCACGCGTGTCCAATTTTGTAACTTCACTGATTAGGCCTTGAGTGTTACTCCTGGCATACCTTACCCAACTCCGCAAATTGCAAATGCCGTAGTGGATGTCCATATTGTCTCTGTTGACTACAATATAATCTATGACGATAGCCTTTGCAAGCTTTTTCAAGAAGTCTCTAAGTATCACTTGAATGGGGCAACTGCTGATGTGCTCCAGGCATTGGCAATCGGACTTGATGAATACATTGCCAATTTTGTCGGTTGGACATTCTCGATCTGCTTCTTTCTCAGAAGCCGAACAACCTGCGTTCTGCAATTCTTGCACATTGTCAATCCAATGCATCTTTGTACTCCAATCATGTGAGTCAACCACCTTCACTCCGTTCTACGCATGCCTCCTTGCAACATCTTCAACAACACTTTTCCATTGTCCCTGTGGACAAAACATCGCACAATTTGGCAATATGCTGCAAGAGTTGGTATTTGTTTCATTTCTCTACCCATTTGTACAGTCCAACTTATACTTGTCCTGATGAATCCGTTGTTGATGTCCTTGACCGCCATGCCATATGGAATCACCATTGGGGTTACACCTACATTGATACCCTACATTTCCTTTACTTTGTGTTCAAAGCTTCCAAATTTCCTTCAGCTCTTTGCAACATTCTTGGAGTCACGACACAAAAAAATAACAAATTCTTCCTCTGTGCGCTTGCCCTTATCCAACAATTTGCACCATTAATGAACGACCTCGTCACAAATAATTGGCTAGCACAACAACTACTTCGCCATACCTTAGTGCTCCTTTGCAAGGAGTGATCTTTTCTCTTTGCGAGAAAGACACTGAGCTCTATCAACTGGTTGGTGTTCAACGGTGCTGGATTGTTTAGAGTACCAATGAAGTGGCAATTGACCTGAAAAATAATGCACTGTCTCTTCGTGGCCTCTCTCCTCACACTATTGATTTTACCACAATGCACACCAACCTTCCTCATGACCGCACTCTGAATAATGTGGCAGAAGTTGTTGATGAAGCCTATGTTTATGCCCTTCGACATGCTTGCACGCTGCAATGTCGTGAACATGGTTATTCGAGGACCTTGTTGTGGCCAATGGACAACTGATTCAGGCTCAGACACCCTTTATGTTTCTCAGATTCTCCAACGTCTTTGCTTTGTTATACATAACACTTTCTGTACATTAGAGATGGCACGCTTCGAAAACAAATTATCGGTATTCCAATGGGGACAAATGCTGGCCCATAAATTTATAATCTGACGTTGTATGGGATCGAACGCTTCGTTGATGACATTCGTCACCATGATCTTCAGGCCACTCAGCAATATGCCTTCACTTATCGCCTCATTGATGATGTTCTTTTATGAGGGGCAATTTCCTCCTCCATCAGACCACTATGGTCTTGAGTGGAACGCAACTACAACGACATATGACTCGTGTACCTTTTTAGGTATGCATTTGCGGGTTTGTTCTGATAGCTTGCTTCGCATGAGCGTCTTTGATAAAGCGTCTGCTTGGGACTTCCTTGTCATTTGTTATCCAATTGCGACCTCCAACATCCGTTCCCATCAACCGGCTGGTGTGTTCACTGGGCGATTGACCAGATTTGAACAAATTTGTAACAATCAGTAGGACTTTCGAAATGCAGCAATAACACTAACTCGTCGCATGCTTTCTCGTGGGCACTCCCCGCCAATCCTTGCAAAGTGGTGGACTTGCTACATGCGCTCCCGCCAACGTCGCTGTCCTAGGCATGTGATGCGTCTTTCTCAGGGGTTCCAACGCATGCTGGGATGATCCTTGTATCGCCTACTTTCTCCTTTGCCCCTACGACGCTCTCATCCTGCCCCTGCTCTCTCGTCTGCCGCTACTGCAGTTTCCATTGCTGCAGGTTCCACTGCTGCAGGTTCCATTGTTGCAGTTTCTACTGCTGCAATTTCTACTGCTGCAGTTTTCAGTACAACAGTTTCCATAGCCACAATTCCCCCTACTGCAGTTTTAACTGCTATAGCTTTCTCTGCCGCAGCTCCAGTGCAAAGAACATCACCGTCTCACCGACGCTCACATCCTTTATTTCAAAATCCTGCCCAATCCTCCCCTGTCTCATCTCTTTTGGTGCTTGGCCGCAGACGGCTGCTTTCCTCCTCACCACCCCCTCTCCTCCACGGTCTCGCTTGAGAACGGACTCGTCGGTTCCCATTATTCCCGTTGTTCCATCTTCATTACCAGAGACATTCATCTTTAGTTTGCAACACCACTACTCGTATTGTGTATCGTCGACGGCGTGTGCCGCAATATCACTTGTCCAAAGATCAGCCTCCTGCAGACAGTTCAGCTGCCTGCAGGTTCATACCCTTCAGCGTTAGATATTCACAGGTCACCTGTACAACAGGATGTGGTGCCCTCTCAGGGTGCACTCCCGATTTCGGGGATAGTCCCTGCTCAGGATGCAGCCCCAAACGTCAAGGGATTGGAACATGATTTGCCCGGATTGCAGTTAACCCCACAAAGTGTAGAAACACTTGGAGGATCTGCAAACGGCTGCCCTGCCACGCGCAAACCACATGGGTGATCTGCAAATGACTGACCAGCAAACAACCCAGGACAGTTTGGGCTTGCAACACCATCTGGGTGTTCTTCACATTGTTGGCCAGCATCCGGCACACCAGCCTGACATCCTCACCAATCTCTGTGGTCTGACTGCAACTAGTATCTGTCTTCATATTCTCCACCGCCCATTTTATACACCATCAGACTTCCTTGCAATTGCCCTTCAGCTTCATGCTGATCTTCCCTCCCTACAGCCAGAGGAATGTAATTATACCAGGGAGAGAGGCTCTACCATTGCTGTCCTACAAGTAGCCATGAGGGACTGCCAACTTGAACTGCGCAATGCTTGAGCAGGTGAGTGGTTTAATCCTCTATCCTTCATCTTTGCCTGCATTGTGCCCGGACCTGGCAATTACATGGCCATTGTACATGCCTCTGACCATTGGGAGCTGTGACAACGGCATCATGGTCCATGCCATGACTGATGTTACTAATTTCTTACATAATGATGCTGTTTTCTTGCCACACCAAGCCGTTCGGAATCTCTTTTATGTTGAAAATCATTCCGCTAACCCTGTGCTGCAGCAGGACGGTGTACCAACACTCTGTTACCTTCTCCTTTGCACAGCTACAAACACTGTTACACTCAGCTGTAGCTGCCATCGTCTCTGTCACAATCACTACAATCAGATGGTTTCTGCATCCATGTGTGTAGAGGAGTGTCCCTCCGTTCGTGACTGCAGGCACCCTCCACATCTGGACACTGTACATGTCCATTTTGTGGCCATGGACGCTATAATGAATGCATGGTCTTTTGTGGGTGTTCTTCCTTCATTTCGGCCTGCAATCGACATGCCATTCGTAGGGGGTGTATGGTGGGCATGCTCAATGCCAACCATCGTGGCAATTGGTGTACTGAGAATGCTTAGCTAGGTCTTCCATGTGTTCATCCCCCTAATCCTTACAATGTATGTCCTCTGTGTCCTCAAGGACAGACTCGTTCTTGAGCCTTTTCTTATCCTCTCCTTTGCCTTCATCTGCATTCCACACTCTGTACTTTCCCTTACTTTCCCTTGGTCGTTCTTTGTTTGTTCTCTCCATCTCTCCTCCCTGTGTTTATCCCCTCCCTGCTTACTCTGCCTCTTTCTCACAGCGTACAAGTGGACCGTTATGGCACACGGGGATGCAGGCAGCTCGCACTCCCTTCATCAACGTGGCGAGCCTCATATGTGAGAGGCACGGTGAATGGGAAGTTAAAAGAAGAATGAGAAAAATTAGTGGTTCATACTTTCAGTGTGCCCTTCATGTTGGTCCCTTTTTTTTTTTTTTGGCCTGATTGTTGCCATGTCATGCTCATTGTAGTCCTTGTCTTTCGACTTAGGAGCCTTCAGAAGCTTCAGCTTTCCTCCCTGCCGTCCAGACATTGTCCTTTTTGTGTGCTATAGTGCAAAAATGAGATATCAAATACTTAACTCCTTGGTCCTCATCCTCACAGCGTATGGCTTGCCCGTAGGGTCATTAGCAAAACACACTCAGTGATAGAAGACACACCCACAAAGGAGAATGTGCACTGCTGCTCTTACTGAATTGCAAAGTGCGCTCTTTTAGTTTGTAGATATGTGACAATACATGGTGTTGCTCTGTGCCCATACTGAGTCATGCAGTATTTCTGGTTTGGTGCGTGGTTTTTCTTGCTGACTGGGGTTTTGAATGGGACGGACTCATAAGAGTGAGAGATGCTGCGGAGTCTATTGTGCTGTCCCATGCTCTGCCCACGGAACATGTGCATATCGATGCTGATCTGGACAATGTGCTGGCAGTCCAAGAGAAGCTTGTTTTCCAACATTCCATACTGGAGTTTGCAATGAAGGTTTATGACTACTTCAGCACGGCTGTCAACTACCTGATTCTCCTTGTGCCGATTTTTGCTGGTGCATTTGCTGAGGCAACGAAGGATGACGCGGGCAAGGTTGCACAGCTGATTAGCAACTCGTCCTTTGCGACATTACAGCTGATGTATGGCTTTTCCATGCTGATAGACGCATCCAAATATGCATCCGATGTGGCCGGTCATGCCTCAAGGGTTGCTGAGCTGTTCGAAGCCTTGGGAATCATACAGGAGGGAATGAAGAACACCGAATCCATGGCACCTGCAAACTTGTCAGAAGCAGGGCCCGGCAAGCAGCTTGGCACCGGGTCCGTAATTCATCCTCGTCACAAGAAAGGGGTGGAGAAGGCTGCGCCAGCTGACCCCTGTCGCTTGTCATCAGAGGTATGGACCAAGTCCAACCAACTTGCTGATGCCCCAGGAGGGCTCACATCGTCACCCTCAGGAGGCTCCAAACTGCAGTGTACAGTGGAAGAAGGCCAGAGGGTCAGAGCTGACCACCAAAAGGACTTGAGCACAGGCACAAGACAAACTGGCATGGAGGTGAGGGGAAGGAGCATTGCTTTGCAGGAGGAGCAGACAGTAGACTGGACAATGGTACGGGCCCCAACTATCTTCCATCTATGTGGAGGAGATGACTGGCTCGAGTACTCTATCCACAGAGTGCCACGCGAGTTGTATGCGCTTCTCGTGGCAGTGTTCCCCGGCAAATGGCCTGAAGATATGCTGGTTATTCCCACATTTCAGTGCGGAGGGGTCGACCTTTGTATCCCCCCAGTGAAAAGGGGGAAGGGGGAAGGCGCAGCAGATGACACAGACGAAGTTGATGAAGGTTTCGGCAAATTGTGTATGCGTGTAGGTGAGGACATGGATAGGATGCTGGGGGTTTTTCTCAGGTGGCAAAGTTCCATCTGTGGTTATCTTCAGAGCAAAGGCTACTGGGCCGACTCAGTGGACCCTAGCTCAGGGTATGCTCTTGCACCAAGAGGAGGATGGGGAAACATCACTAGCAGTACTCACCAGCAGGGACACGCTGGATCCCAGCAGGACCCAGTGGTTGAAAAACGCATCATGGAGAAGCCACCCCAGGAGCACTGGGAGAGCAAACTCTGCTACAGTGAAGTTTATGCAGCCAGGGTATTGCTTGGCTATGAGGTTCAGCAGGTAGGAGCATGCCCAGTTGTTGTTCACCCTAGGTTTGGCACAAGGGCATATCCTGCCTCTCTTGTGACAACAGCACCCTTAGAACCCCTGTTGGAAGCCATATCAGCAGCAAGGGATGGTTTTTCTGGCGAGATGGAAGCGGAGCCCGAGCTGGTATCTGCTGGGGACAAAAGTAGTGCAGAGGGAGGAAAGGGGGTTGGGCAGGAACACAAGAAGGGAAACGAGGAGGAGGAGGAGGGTGGTGACGATAAATCCTGGGTGAAAGTTGCGGGGCACAGCGAGATAATGCAAGAGAGCTGGGATGTGAATGAGAAGCAGAAGTCATGCCTTGTCATTCCTGATAACAGCATGCAGATTGAGGATCCGCCTTTTGCAGAGCAAAGGCTTCTAGACCAATGTCCCATCCTTCCTCTCTATAATTCGTCGTGTGGGAAGAATACAACTGGCCTTGGCAGGGAACAGGTCCATGATGATGCACTGGACGAGGTCGAGAAGGAATTGCTCATGAGGGTTTCTGCAATGACAATCAAGCAATCAACTGCAGGAGAGAATGGGAAAGTTGAGCAGGGAAGTACAGCTGCATTGAGCGTGACCACATCTCACATGATGAGACAGGAAACGGCAATCAGTGGAGATCGGCAGACTGCCAACGACCAGGACATGCTTGTCATCAAGGAGATGACCTGCAGTATTCCTGACAGTGGTAGAGTGATTGTGAAGGACCTGACTGTGAGGCTTCAGCAGGGAGAGTCTCTTCTGGTTATGGGACCGAGTGGATGTGGGAAAACAACAATTGTGAAAGCCATCGGAGGAATATGGCCATTGGATGCAGGTGAGTGTGCCCGATCAATGGACAATGGTCTGAAAGATCGCCTCTATGACCAATGAAATTGCCACATTATCCGTTTTCTGAAAATGGAGTAGCCACCTTAAAGCATTAAATAAATGTCAAAATGAAAAAGTGCAAGGAAAATGAGCAGAAACACCAAATTGCATCATCACATTGAAAGCCAGATAGTCGTGTGCTGAACGGAAAGCAGAATGCTCCAATTGACAGTGTCAGCCCCCTTCTCGCCTCCATCATCAAAGTACTCAATGTCGCTCTTCTATATGGCGCTCGGCGCTCAGGCTACAGTCAGACAGCACCTAAACTAGCCTATCAATCTACAGATGCAACCAGGTATACTTCATCAGCTGCTCGATGTACATGAAGACTTCGCCCATCTAGACCTCCTCTCAACACCAGGTGCGTCCCTGTTATGATCCTGGCCAATTTCAAAGTACACATTCATCAGAAAGTACAGTGCTGTCCAATTGCAAAAGGAAATGAATGAACTTGAGAGGAGAGAGAGGGAAAGAAGAAGAAGAAGAAGAAAGAAAGAAAGAAAGAAGAACGCGATGATGTACACCAGCCTAGACCAATGATAATGCTCTTCTTCTTCGCCAACCACTCTCCTCCTCCTCATCTCCTCCGCTCTTATTCAAACAAGAAATAATAATAACAATGTTGAATGGCTGAACCAGAATCAATGTCTGAATCCCTCTTCTACTGCAGGTATCACATGAGGTCCACCATAGCCATGGCACCCTTCTCCTTCCTCTTCTCGAAGGCCTAGGCTATGATGGACTGCTAGGGCCTTGCCCTGATGTGCATAAGACAACTCAAGCAGCTATGGCTGCTCTAGCTCAGGCCGCCATGCCTGACTCTGCCTCGAAGCTTCTTGGTGTAGCTCTACCCCCGCTGGGGCCTTCTTGCTGCAGCGCCCACCAAGGTGATGAAGATGGCAACCACCATAGCCAGGTAAGTACCTCTGGCGTTCCCCCTTCCTAGCCCTGGTCTTCTTCCTCCTCCTGTCCTTGTTCCTCCCCAGCAGCGCTGCTCCAAGCTAGCGCTGCTCCAGCCAGCACTCCAACCATTGTGTCGCCAAACTTGCACACCGACAATGAGGAGGAACACTTTGCTCCTCCTAGAGATATAGCGGCCTACTTGCCTCTTGGCGAGTGACTTCCCCGGCCGCGCGGCGTCCAAGCAACCGGTACCTCCTCCCTTTCGGAGGGAAACATCATTGCAGACTTTGATATTGCCCGTAAAGGCCCTAGACTCAGACTGGTTGGACTGGTGCCCTCCTAGACCTAGCCTACAACTACTGGGCCTCTAAAAATGCCAACTTTTGTCTTCCTCTGCTCGGCCTCGAGTACCCAGCACATCTACCTCTAGCTGGTGTGGTACCGGCCTACCGGCTACTTGAGTGTTTTCCGTTGCTTCAAGTGTCGCGGGCCTTTTTCCCCGCCACTTGAGTGGTTTCCCCGTTGCAACCCTCAATGTCACAACCCTCTGAACGAACAAGTGCCCTTGCGGGTCACACACACACTCAAGCCGATAAGCACTCAGACAGGCATGCAGACCAGCAAGCATACACACACACAGACTTAGAGAACTCAGCAACAAACGGGAAACTCGGCAAGGTATTCATTCCATGAGTAAAACTCACAAATCAGTTGTGTGTCTTAGTCTGTGTTTGGCAGATTATTACATCCCATTGAGAGTTTGTGCCCTGGCTAATGAATTTGTTTCAATGCCAAGTGGTAAGTAGGTATCGCATCACCATCTCAGTCAAGTTAATCAGTCCCTGAATGACACTCGAGGCATTAATCACCGCCAATACTAATCCCCGTCGAGCAAGAACTTGGAAATTAGATAGGCTATTTTCCTCAGTTGCCGATTCCTTCCTTTATGGCTCATTACTCAGTCTTGGCACCCGAGTAAAAACATCTTAGCTCACTCACTGTGAAGGGCCAGACTGTTAATCCTGCCCGGCGACAACACACCCATAAGCTTGCATGAACGTGTGTAGATTCACATAGTCGCACCAGCGCTCATGTATCCACACTCGTCAGATCACTCACAAGTCAGTCCAATTATGCACTCGTACAGTTACCTCACCTGCAAGACTGTACGATCGCATGCTGGCGTGGTCACCCAGAATGCCCATAGATTCATACGACCGTATGCTCATAAGGTCGCACAGAAACTTGTCACTGGGTTATAGGGTCCTTTGAAGGAGTGAACGAGAACTTTGATAACACTCGTAACTTAGTTGAATTGCTGGTGCCCATAGCATGAAACAAAGATCCATCACCCAGACCAATTAGTCTCTCTCTCTCTCTCTCTCTCTCTCTCTCTCTCTCTCTCTCTCTCTCTCTCTCTCTCTCTCTCTCTCTC